GACCTCCCAGCCGGGAGCTGCCTTACGCTTCAGAGTGGCTTTTGTTTTATTCTATTTTCTCTGGATAAATGAAACCGAGCGAGTTTTTACTACGCCGAGAGAGCGATTGACTTTTAATGCGTCTGCAAGAAGGAATTGGTTCTATGCGCGTTCCTGAGTAAATGCTTAGGATGTATATTCGTTGGGTCCTGTACGAATAGCATTTAGACTAAGGAGGCTTTTAGCGATTTCTTTACGCTAATAGAGAGTCTTCCAGTTGCTGCCAACCACAGCTGGTGTTGCCACCCTTGTGATGTTGAATTCATCTCCCGTTGTAACGGATCAGCTGGAGGTGCCACATCCAGAGCCGCCGGCTCCGGCGGGGGGGCACAGGCTTCTGCCGTATCTTTACGTGAGCAGAATTGGGTTGTGGGTGCGCATGGATAGATATTTTCTGCTCCTGAGGCACCAGGCAACTGCGCAGTGCTTCAGACACAGAGGCTGAACCAGGTCCTTCTCCCAGAGTGCCTGTTCCTCTCTGCCTAGGACTGATTTCCATTTGCTGAGTTGATCTGCAGGCTGATGATCAGATTCTTCTGTTATAAGCCGACCTGTTGCAGGAAGCTTTCTCGTTCAACCCTGTGGTGCTTAGTGGCTAGCCCCACTGTGTATTTTCTGAGACCTCGGAGCGGTTTTGACCTTTAAGGTGTCTTTGGTGTTTACAGCATCCTGGCTGGGAACCTGATTAAATAAGCTACCTCCCAGCGTTTGCCTTTTGATGTTACAAAACTCAAAGGCATTACGCTGCAGACAACAGCATTAGTGTTTGGTTTGTTACAACAGCACCTCCTATGACCGTGCTCTGGAAAAAATTTCCACACGTCCCTGACGTCACAGCCATTTGCTTTACGCTGCCTGGATACCAAAGAGTGCTTTAACTCCTGGAGCACCATATTACTGCACCCAGCTGTGCCCTCCAGCCCCGGCTACCTCCCCTGCCTCCGGTGCACATGAGGAAGATGAGAGGATGGAGTGTCTTGCTGACAGTGTCCCTCGGCCTCTGTGTCACTGGCTGTCCCTCCTGCTCTCCTGTCTTTCATAGACTTAAAATGACCAGAACCACCAGCTTTCATTATGAGGTGTCTCTGATGATGTAGCTGGGGACTGAGGAGCAATGCTTCCACCTACTGCTTCCTCCCTTTCCCTTGTCACTTCATGTCCTTCAAATAAACCACCTCTGTTTTGTTTGCAATTAGCTGAGGACAGTCTGAGAACAAGCAGGCTCGTTCTCAAGTTCTCTTTGGCCTCTGCTTGTTTCTGCAGCCTGATTAGCATATAGCTGCTTGGCATGGCTGGCTTATCCTTGTAGGCGGCCTGGTGATGTGTAGTACGGCATGTTACAGTGTAGTTAATCAGTTGAGATAATCCTTGTAAACTGGTAACTGATACCCAGAGTCTGAGCCATGCTGCATTTCCAGTCTCTTCTCCATTTTCTTCCTCCCCACCAAGATTATTCTAGACATTTCCCTTTAGACCAGAACTACATTCACTCTTTCATTATTATGTAATTCACTCTTTAGATGACACGAGCAGTGCTGGAGTGCCCTTGTAGACACACAAGGCTGGTAAATGTGCTGTACCGTGACATGAGTGCTTTTCTACATTGGAGAAGGAATACTGGAGCTAATTTGGGCCTGAATTCTCTTTCCATTGTCTTTATTGGAGATGATAGCCTGGATTAGTGGGAGAGATCAGGCTTGTAAACCTGAATGGAACCTTGACTGTAGACTTTCCTGGAAATAGCCTTGAGCCCCAGAGCTGTGTGGAATGAGTATCCTTGAAACACACCCATAGTATGTCTTCTTGCTGTTGGGCACTGGGATCACTGACAGTCTGTCAGCTGTGAGAGCCTGCAATGGTAGTGCTGTGTCAGCCAAGGTATACTTTAAAATATGGGAGGATGTGGTTTAGTCCTTAAATTTTATAATCCCAAATCCTGATTCATTAATTTCTAGATATTCAAGGGCTTATGTTTCCAGGCCCCCAAACAACTGGAGTGACTTGTATTTCCTGTCTGCATCAGGGCATAATCTCATTGTTAAATGTCTCTGCAACATATGAATTAAGTGTGCTGGGCTCTCCCTTGCAAGTGGTAAAGGTTGGAACTTTTGTCCTGAAATGTGGCTGCTATGAGGGGTTGATTTGATTCCCCTTTCTGTTTGTTTTCTCTTTCAGTTAAGATCCTCCTCTTCTATGTCATCTTCTACGGTTGCCTGGCAGGTATATTCATTGGGACCATCCAAGTGATGTTGCTCACTGTCAGTGAATTTGAGCCCAAATACCAGGATCGAGTGGCACCACCAGGTAACTAAATAGGAGGCCTGTGTTTGACTGGGTGCAGGCTGTTCTGGGGAGGCGGGGTTGGTTACTCACCTCAAGAAGGAGGATGAAATAAGCATGTCGTTGCTGCAACACATATTTGTAGGGGGTGGGTATGTTCTCAGCCTTCTGTGTTAACAGTACCGGGGCTTGAAGGCAATCCTGCTAGAATTAAAGGTTGCATCACATGAAATATGTCTCCTGTCTCAGAGGAGCTTGAACCTGGATTGCTTTTCCCTTCCCCTAAGCTGAAGTGATGGAGTGAGGCTTAAGAGACTTCATTTTTGGAAGTGGGCTGTATGAAGTAAAGCTGGGTTCCGTTTTTATTGCTTCATAGTTAACTCTGTTCACATGGGTAAGTGAAGGGAGAAAGGTGAAATGTTGCCTTTCTCTGTGGAACTGGGGTGAACAAGGAGAAAAGGGACGATACCAATTCTGGGTGTGCTTACTGAGTGGTATTAGCCAACACTGAACTACATTGTATGATCTGGAGGCAGGGGTAGCATTCACTAGTGGGTGTTTCAATTGACTCTTAAAGGTGAGTCTTGGAGTTGCTGATGCATAACCTGTCCTTACTAGACAAAAGAAATCTCTGCTCAGAATGATTGCCTTAGCAGTGTCTCTGGCCAGGCTGCCTTGGGTCGTGGCAAAAGGAGTAACTAGCCCTTGCTGCAGGTTCCCTGCTCTGCCTGTGCGGGCTGTGCTGCGCTATCCGATTCCCGCCGCAGCCAGCGGCTCGGAGCGCGGGGGGGAGCTGCGCAACTGCTGCTTTCCCACATTACAAATGACCTTGAGGCTGCTTGGCACTGGGGATCGTAACGATCTGTCTCCAGTTGCTCTGTAAAACAGTTCAGAAGCTTTTAATAACAGTGGTATTTAAGTGACAATTGTGAGGCTGATGGCTTGTAGCTACAGAAGTTGGCTCTGGTGTTTTCGCTGTCTTACAGCCCCACTGTCTGCAGTGCTGTGCTGTGATTCTCTGCCCTAACACAGGCAATGTCACCATCACCAAATGATGCTGTATCTCGGCATAGGTTCATCTTTTGCAGATAACTGCTTTTACACCAGCCCTTTTTAAAGACACAGACTGGAATCGCTCTGCTAGCGTGGGGCCCTTATGTACCACCATGGCTGGGGCAAATGCTGTTTTAGCACTGAAAGTGGCTCTCTTCATCCTTGCAGTGGGCCCTGACATTTGCAGGAAAGACTGGCACTGTCCAGAGCCATTAGTTGCATCTGAAAAGCCAAAAGGGCTAATGGTGGGGTAGTTGTCACTTAATAATGTGTTTTTCCATGGTGCAGCCCAGTAGTCTTCCAGATGTGAAATAATTAGCAAAGCAGCCCATGGATATATGGTCTCATCCAGATAGACCTGCTGTTTAGCCAGATGTCACACAATTACTCATTCTAGGTAAACTGCTTTCTGTGAAATAGCAGTTTACAATTCCAATTTCAAAGTAACTCTGGTAAGATTTCTATGAAAGATTTCAGCTTGCAGAGGATTTTTATTCATCTCTTAGTTGCATGCTGCACCAGTGTTTTTCGGGGCTTTTTTTTTTTTTTTTTTTAACCCGAAGAAAGGATCTGAATTTCAAGATGCTCTTGTAGCATGTGCTGCAGAAATCAAAATGGAGGAACAATGAAAAGATTCTCAGGAATCTTTTGTAATGGGCTTTCAGGACATGTCCTGAAATCAAGGGGAATGAAATCCAGCCTCCTGAATGTATGATGGTGGGCAGCCAGCGAACAAGGGGGTTTGAACCAAGTTGCAATGGCACACACATACAACTTCAAGGAAATAATGGTCAGTTAATGGCACAGGGCCCTTTGCAGGGCATCGTGCGACAGCTCTTTCTAGAGATGCGGACAGGCTGGGTGTAGGGCATGGTGAAGGCTGGCTCTTAATGTCCAGTACGTTCCTTGTCCTGTAGCACAGCAGCCATTAGACTGTGAGCCAAAAATAGCCCTTTAATGTAGGCTCTCAGAGAGATTGACAGGGCAGCGAGTTGCTGCGCTGCGGTGTTTGAGAGGTCAGCAATCCCTGTATTCCCCTGCTGTGTAGGACTTTCCCCTGTGCTGCAACCACAACTGCTGTTCCAGCAATGAACACAAGTGTGGCCATGTTCACTGCTGCACTTGGTGAGCACCAAACTTGAATTTGTTTTGTGATCTGAGACACCTGCAGATGATGAACTATATAAAATGGGATGTTGGGCTATTGCAGTTCCTGGTTCTTGTGGGAAAATCTGAAAGCCAAGTAAGTATATTGGCAGCTTCATTAGAGCCTTGGGTTTTCTAGGAAGCCAGAAAACTTGATTTTATTCTTGTTAAGGGTGCTCTGCCCTTCTTGGGCAAGTCACTCTTGTGTCAGCTGAAAATGTCTGGGAAAGGGGAAACCAGACCTGCCTTCTGGGCTTGCAGGAGCAAATGCTGTAGGGGCTGCTATAATATCTTTCTTGTTCTGAAATACAACAGATTTCATTACAGCAACAGAACCTACAGGGTGTTTTATTGAGTTATTGACATGGGTATAACATTGAAAGCCATAAAGTGCTATTTTTGTAGCCAAGTGTCATTAATATGGTAATTGGTTTCTGCATTGAACACCACAGGAATGTTACAGGGCTTCAGGGCAAGCTGAGTGTTGTACCTTTCCATTATACTATTTTTTCCTTCTTTTGTCTTGTGGTGGGGGAAGGGACAGTGCAGTTCACCTCCTTGTCCAGCCCTGCCGTTGGGCCAGCCACACCCCCCAGTTCCACATGTGCTGCAGGATTGGACTCTTGCTTCAAGCATGGACTTACCTGCTAATAGGGAAGGATGAGGATATTGCTTCTTAAACACACATACTGAGTGTATAAAAAATAATCCTCCATTCTCCTCCTCCCCTTCCCCACCCCAGTATAAATTGGGCTGTGTATCCTGCCATCTTGTGGTGTGCATCCCATGGAACAGCATCCCATCACTGGGGCTGGTGTAGGGGTGACAGAGCTCACTGCTGCCTGAGGCACTTTGTAGGTGGTGGCTGGGAGGAAGAATCCTTGCTCAAGCCAGGGGATTTCAGGTGTCCCTGCTTCAAGTGCTGCCTGGGCAGTGAGTGCGTCATGGAAAAGGCTGCTCTGGTATGTGTTCCCCACTTGGCTTATTTAGCTTGCACAGCAGCAGGGAGGTGGCAGGAAGGCCTCAAAGGAGTGTGTGCTGCCTCCCTGTGAAGCTGCACTTCTTTGCTTCTATATCTTGTTGTCTCAGCACTTGTGCTTGGAAAAAATCTCTGAATCTCAAGCTCCAGGGATGTTACCACCAAGCAGGTTTTGCTGCATTTGTAGAACACGTGCACTTGCTTTTGGCACTTTGGGGCTGAGGTAGAGGGTGACTGGAAGCTTGGAAGGACTTTGCTTGGTATGGAGGCTTTTAAAATCTATCCTCATTTAGTGTGCAGCGGGGAGAGGATGGTAAATAGGAATGGTGTAGTGATCACTCAGTTTGTCATCTGTGTCATCCCAGGAGTGTTCATAGTGATTCTGAACCAAGGTTGCATGGTACTTGGAAATGAGCATATTGTATGATGAAGCAAGAGAAGTTACTATGGACTTACACAACCATTCCTAACAGCAAGACTGAATTCCTGCTTCTAGTTTCTTCTTCACCTTCAGGACGCTTTCTCCTGAAGTCTTGCTCTTGCAGCTTAGAATGATAAAATCTGTGTGGAAAATTGTTTTTAAATTAACTTGAATAAATGTGATTTTAATCTGCAGCGATGTTTTGGAGTGGAACTGTAGCTGGGGAAAAAATCAGATTACTTTACATGCTTTTTATGTGTGTTTGCTATCCTTGTATATTCTCAGAAAGCCAACAGAAGGTGATGACTGTTACCAAGTCCAGGTATTGCTGATCATTTATGTCGACAGTGTCAGTCAAGTGAAGATAGGCATCGTATGTCCTAGCAAGGCACTCTGCAGAGCCAGTTGCGGTAATTTGCTGCTTTGGCAGTATTTTAGCAGTAAGTTACCTGATTGTTTCCTGTGGCAAGAACAGCATCATCACATGTGATGCAGAATGGTGTCACGCAGATTGTGGTCTGAAGATGGGGAGAGGGTTGTTTAGACTCCTGGCTATGAAAGCACTTGAAGCTTTTGTTTCTTTTCCCCATAGGAATTGCTTATGAACGGCTTCCTCATGCGCATGAAGCTCCTAAGAGCTTCCTTTATGCCAGTAACTTGCTGGAGCCTCTTACTTCCTTGAGTGTTTAGCAACACATGGCAGGTAGCACTGGAATGGTTTAGCTTTGTCTTTTTTTTTTTTTTCTTGTCCCTGCTTGCTTCAGCTTCCTCTTGGGGGTGAGAGAATGCTCCAGAAAGATTAGTGTTCTGCAGAGGTTACTTCCTGTCGTCACACAACACGCTTGGATTTTTACACAAGATTGCTTAAGAAGAATTCAGTGATAGTGCTGCTCTGATAACAGCACCAAAGCTTTTATTTTGGTTATGGGATGTATAGATGGAAAACAAAGGAGGAGATAATACATCAGTGCTTAGGGCTTTGCATCCAGTCAGTTGCAGGCATGTGAGAACAGAAGTTGTGGTCCAAGTCAGTAAGAAAGACATTTTTAAAATCAGGATAAGTTATTTTTCATGGCAAAGTCTTTCATCTTCATGAAGATTTACTTCCTTGTTTCATAAAGGAAGCATCTGCTGTACCAAAGCCTGGTTTAGTCTGGTTCATCCAAGTACCTCGAAATGCCTGTTAGGCAGAAAGCAGCCTGGCTGTGGCCACAGGTTGCCTGGCAAGGACAGTGGTTCCCTTCTGCAGGCCATTGGAACAGCTGCATGGTGGTACTGTCTGGGCTACAGAGCAGTTCTGTGGAGATTTACAACACAGGGCTGCTTTGGAGTTTGTTCTCCCAGCCAAGTCACTTGTCTCATGGGCAGAGGGTTGGCTTTGGACTGTACCTGTCAGTGGCCAAGCTTTCCTAAATGTTCTGTTAGGAGGCTTTTACATACCACAGGGTGGGTATTGCTGACCTTCACTTCACCCTTGGCAGGCCTGCATGGGTGTCCTTATGTGTTACCTTGGCCAAGACAAGAAATGCGGGGGGGATCCTGAGAAAAGCTGACAGCTTAACTTTCCTGACCAAAGCTTAACCAACCTGGCCACACTTTCTTGATTTTTATTTATACACTTGAATGACACCTTTAACTTGCACTCTGGAAAAGGCAGACCCAGGAGGGAACCCAAGGCCTGGCCTGCCTCTGCTGCAATCCCAGACAGGCACTTCAGGTGACTGCGTCTGTTGCTCCCCAGCTGAGTGGTAACATGAGAAGGGCTTGGCAGATGGAGTCCCTTACTAAAATTGAATCTGGTATATTTATTCTATATATATTTATAACTGTTCGTGAAGCAAGAAAACAAGTAATTGCTTGCAAAGGGGTTGAAAGCCACTGACTTCGGAGGGGAGGATGTAATTCTGCTAGTGGATTAGTAAGCTGCTTCTAAACTTGTTAATACTCAACCTGGTCCATTTGTTCCAGAGGGGGTTTTGAGCAGTTAAAGCTGCTTCATGGAATAAAACCTGAAACACCCGAGCTCCTTGCTGGGTGTCTCGCAGTCTGTGGCAACTACGAACTGCATTGAGGGGAACAACACTAATCTTTGTCCTAGGTTACAAATTCCAAGTTAGTGTATAGTGGGAGGGGGGGCAGAGGGAGTGGTGAGCTGGCTCGAGGAGGGACTAAGCAGAAGCACTCAAGTGGCTTTGGAAAAATTGCTGGAGTCACAAGCTCTAGTGGGTTGGGGCCAGCCGGCTAAGCTGCCTGCATTTTGCACCAGGGGAACTTGTTGGCAACAGGCCTGTTCTGAAAGCTGTCAAAGCAAATGCTGCTCCCCTGCTCCTTTTCTTGATCTTGCTAAAATGAAGATGACAAACTGAACTGAAGTCAAGACCTCAATAATTACAGTGGCCTCCACCAAAGCAGTATGAACTCTGTTCCCATTACTTAAGCTTAAAGCATTAGCCATGCATCAATGCATTCGATTAAAATGTGACCTAAACATTGCACAGGAGCAACTATTTCCAAGTTCCACAATGAAGAGCAAAGGAGCTGGTGCTTTTCATCATCTGGTGGCATCACTTGTGTATAGTCCCTTCTCTTCTCCATGCATTATTTTTCTGTTCATCCTCCTAAAGTCTAAAGTGGAGCCAGTTAACACAGCTCAGAATCTGGACAGTCTTTTAATACTTGGTGATGAGAGAGCTCAGAAGACTAGTTCTGAAGTCAGGAATACAAGCTTGCGCAGTGAAAAGAGCAGAGGCATCAATCAGGCTGATGAATTTACTGAGGGAGAAAATGTCTCCTGCCCTGCATCCTACAAGGGAGACTACACAAAGGCAATGTGGATTACAGCTAGCAGAGAGTGACCTGACTTGGGGAACCTCCATGGTCTTCTACTGCAAGGGCTCATGACTGGACAGCTGTGATATATCCTAAATGCCCTGTGTTTTGCTGACTTTCAAGTCAGCCTGTTAGGGATATGTGCATTCTGTGTGGTTGGTCTTGCACACAGGCAGCTTCCCTTCCGTCCTCGAGGAGGAGACAGAAATGCACACGTACCTGTGGTTGACTGTTTTTCTTGAGGAAAGCCTTGACTTGCAGCCCCCCCTTCTGCATTTTGTGATTTACCTGATGCAAACATTGTGATAAATATTCCAGACTGTTGTTTGAAATAGGAGATACGAGACTCTCCTCTAGTGAGCTTAAGCTACTTTGTCAAAGTTCTTAAGTCTGAAAAATAGAGATGATTAGAAGGAGTTATGTTTTTGTATGGATTGTATTGCCTGGAGGCTGTGTAGCTCTGAGGTGTACTTAATGTTTCTTCCTGATTTTGCTTTTCTTAGGACTGACTCAAGTCCCCCAGGTTCTAAAGGCAGAAATTTCCTTTACTGCCTCTGATTCTAAGTCTTACGAACCGTATGTGAAGAGCCTGGAGAATTTCTTAAGGGACTACAGCGCTGATCAACAAACTGAAAACATAGTATTTCAGGACTGTGGGGGTAAGTCTCGATTTCTACCCATGGCTGTGGGCTCTGTGTCAGGGTCACCAGAAGCTGAGGGTGTGCAGTGGTGGCCTTGCCCTTCAGCTGTTCCTTTTATCATAATGAGCAACATGTTGGTAAACTGGCAGGCTCTGGTTTCAGTCATATGGCTGCTCATTAATTTCATTTGGACAGACCATACTGGTACATACTTAGCAGCTTATTTGTAGAGGTTATACAGTTGGGAACTCCCACATTTCACTGAAAGAAACTTGCAGCTGACTGTCAGAAGCATGTGGTGCTGACCTTAGCCTCTCTGAAAGCCATGGGGGTTTTACTGATGACTTGGCTAAAGCCAGTGTCAGTCCTCTTGATGCAATGCAGTCAAACATCTGGGAGGTATTAACCTTTAATAGCTTATGAGGAATGAGACTATCACCTCAATATCTAATCATGTGAATGAGACTATCATCATACCTGTGTATCATATCTGAGGGGAAACAACTTGTAAAAGCTGCCAAAAAAAGTGTATCTCTGAGCCAGGTAATTACAAATGTGTTTGCTCATTTGTCATCTGGAAAAATCCTCAATTATAAAACAAAACCCCTAAAAACTTGCTGGTCTGGGACCAGCCCCAACATGGAGGGTGGCTGGGCATAGGTCTGTGGTGTCAGCATTGGTAAGGTGGTGTCACTTAACTGCCTGGACAAGGGGGAAATCCAGACTGCAGAGTGGAGTATAAGTGTTGCTGTTCCTGACAAGCAAAAGCTGACATGGTGCATGGTTGTCTTTTCATTCCCTTGCTGTGACAGACACCCCCAGTGAATACAAAGACAGAGGACCATATAATGATGCCCAGGGCCAGAAGAAGGTCTGCAAATTCAAGCGTGAATGGCTGGAAAACTGTTCTGGACTAAGCGATCCCACCTTTGGGTACAGGGATGGCAAACCATGCATCCTTATCAAGCTCAACAGAATTCTTGGCTTCAAACCTCAGGCAAGTATTTCTTCCTTTTCTAGCAGAAGCTGCTGGTAAGGAGGAGGAGTTGGCTGCAGATTTGCCGTGCCTGCTTTTAAGTCTCTGGAAAGAGATCAGTATTAAACCCTTTCAGCAGAGGACAAATTGGAAGATAATTGGAGTAATTGGTTTTAAAAATGCTTTCAATTAAAAAGCAATGAAAACTGCACACTGTGAGTCGGTAACAAGTAGCAGTGAACCACCCAGTGCTACCTCCTGGTTATTTATCTGGTAACTTCTGAGCCTGCTAATGGAGTTGCTGTGCCAGGGTATTTTCTTCAAATGATAAACCACATTTTAAGTTCCTGTATACTTCCATGGGACCATCCCAGAGCAGCTCTGTCTGTAGTAACATCAGTACATTGTGTCATGCCCTGATCCACTCCATTCTTTCCTCAGGCAGTGTAGACTTGCCTGCCTTGCTAAAACTGTTTAATTAAATGATGAAGTGCTAACATTAACTATCAGACTGAAGCCCAGGCTATAAAGAGTACAGTACAATTGAAAGTCAGGTCCAGCTGCAGTAAAGGTTAGGAGATCATTAGGTTATTTAATGTGGTTTCCCAGAGGCTTTAGGATGTCTCTCTCACCTGGTTGCTCTGTACTGCACCTGAACGATGTTAATCTGGGCATTCATGGCTTTTACTTCTTCTTTTTCCCCAACACATTTAAATGCTAAACATTTGTTTAAGAATTCAGTGGCAAAGCACGTGCTGTTGAATAAGGTGGTGTGCAAAACCTGCCACTCCATCTTCTGGATGGGGAGCAGTGCAGATGATGTGCTACGCCGCCTTCACCACCATCTGTCAGGGCAGTCGAGGACGGGGAACAGTGCTGTCTAGCTAACAAGTTCTGAGGAATGTTTTTCTTGAAAGGCAGCCTGTCTTGTGCTAAAAGAAATGAGTTGAATTTTGGTTTGTCTGATCCATGGTGGAAACAGTGAGTGCGTTTTAGCAGGAACGTGCTGTGCTTGGTATATGGTGGTTGTGGAATGACATGAGCTGTGCATGTTTGATGACTGGGGAAGAGAAGGCTTTGCTGTGTTCCTCTTTCCTTTGCCATGGAGCTCTGGAGAGCTCCAGACTGCACTAGGGAGCATGGTATAGTCAAGGAATGTGACTACATGTTTCATTTAGAAATGACGTGTATCCAAGGCAGTATTTGATTTCGTTGTTCTGTACTCCAGCAGAGACCCTGTAACTTGTGTTGGGCAATGTGTGCGTAAAGCAGACCTGAAACTACACAATTGCCAAGCAAAACTACTGCACTTATGAGACCAAAGACCACCTGGCTTAATGGTTAGACTATTAGAGTTGGCACTCACAGCTTTCCCTGACATGCTCAGATGTTTTGTCCTTCCTTGCAGGTGGTGTTGAAGTTCAGCAATGTCAGGGTGTGACTGCCAGTATTTGTCTTACACATTTCCAGTCCTGAACTGCACACACCTGGCAGGCAGGAGCCAAATCCTCCAGCAGTGCATCTCTTCCTGCTGCTGCCTGAGCTTGGCACAGATAAGCACTGCTAGCTAACACTCTGCTGTGAAATGCTTTCCCCAGTGACATCACAAAGTAAAAATAGCCTGACGTGCTTGCCTTGGTGTTCACAGCAGGTAAAAGCTGTAAGAACAGACAACAGTTCTGCTTAGGTTAAGTTCCCCTCCTTGTAGTTGTTATACTACTTATCTGTCCTAAGAACCACCAGAGCTGTTGCCTCTGGGACTGCACTAGAAGGGATTGCACCTAACTGTGTTCAGTATCGCTGACCTTTGCTGCTGCAAAGGTGCTCAGGTCTGCAGAGGAGTGTCCAGTGTGTAATGTCTCCTTGTTCTGGATTTCTTCTAGCCTCCAGTAAATGAAAGCCTCCCTGCGGAGGTTATGGCAAAGTACAACCCATATCTCATTCCTATCCACTGCATTGCCAAGGTAAGTTGAAATACAACAGAGCAGAGTTGGGAAGCTGCAGGGGATAACTAAACCTTTGTCCAAGAGTAGTTACCCTTCTCTGCCTTTCTGTGGGCAGGTGAGGATGGGGTTCTGACTAGGGATATCACCCCTCTAGAACAGAAGTTCCTCAAAGCCCCACTGATGGTTGTGTTAGTGCTGCCCTCACAGTGAGGGCTAAAAGCAGTTAAAAGGTATCCTCAAAAATAGCCATTTTGCTTCCAAATGCTGTATTGGAGCTGAAAAAAGAATTCCAGTGAAGAGACTTTGTACTTGGCATTGTAAAGCAGCTGAGAAACAACAAACTCTTTTTAGCCAAAGGTAGTGCATTGGTACAACAGGAAGCTGTGATGGTTTCTGAATGCCTAAAGTAGCTGAGATTTTTAAATAAAGCAGATTGTTTCTCCTGGCTGATGTGTGCTGGGAGATGCTTACTGCATGTGTACTGACAGTGTCCTCTCTACCACCGGGACATCTCATGCTGTCAAGGTGTGGGGATCAGTGATGACCAAAGAAGAGCTCACGGTCTTGCTGAAAAGTAGATGTTGCGAGGGCTGCAAAAGGCAAAGTTTGTGTGGTGGTCATTGGTTGTGCTTCCTTTTCCCACCTCTAGCGAGAGGAAGATGTTGACAAGATAGGCACAGTGGAGTACTATGGGATGGGTGGCTACCCTGGCTTTGGCCTGCAGTACTACCCCTACTACGGGAAGCTCCTGCAGCCGCGGTACCTGCAGCCACTGGTGGCAGTGCAGTTCACCAACCTGACCTACGACATGGAGGTGCGTGTGGAATGCAAGGCCTATGGGCAGAACATCATGTACAGTGACAAGGATCGCTTCCAGGGACGCTTTGATGTTAAATTTGACATAAAAAGCAGCTGATTGTAAGCACAACTCTCTTCCTCCCCCCTCCTCCTCCTCCTCCTAGCCATTTAAAAAGGTTAAAAAAAAAAAAAAAAGAACAAAAAAGAAAACCTACTAGTCTTGAACAAACTGTCATACGTATGGGACCTACACGTAATCTATATGCTTTACACTAGCTTTCTGCATTTACTAGGTTAGAATGTAAACAAAGTGTAGCAATAGCGACAAATATTTATTCTACTGTAAATGACAAAAGAAAACAAAATTGAGCCTTGGGACATGCCCATTTTTACTGTAAATTATGATTCCATAACTGACTTGTAGTAAGCAGTGTTTCTGGCCCCTAAGTATTGCTGCCTTGTGTATTTTATTTAGTGTACAGTACTATAGGTGCATACTCTGGTCATTTTTCAAGCCATGTATTGTATCTGTTTTCTACTTCTTGTGAGCAAAGACTTTTGCTGTCCAAGGTGTAAATACTCAATGGGACTAGAACTGGCATGATACTTCTCATTATTTTGTTCCTTTTCAAAGAAAGGCCCACCTGTGAGACAATATTTAACAGCACTCCATAAGGCTTCTGGCTTTTCTGTGGTGTTAGGGTATTTTATTTGGAGGGGTGGCAGGGGAAACTAACTTAAGTGAAGTTAAAGAGGATAGATGATTGTGTACTGTGCTTTGTAGCGAATGCTGTCTCTCTCTCTCTCTCTC